GCGTGTCTGATCTTCCAGAGGGATGAGTCACCGCGCGCCGCCCTCCTTCGGCGCCGCCCTCCGCCGCCGGCCGCTTTCCCACCCTCCGGCCTCTCGCTGTCCCCGCTCGGTAGGGCTGCGGCGCCCTCAAAGCAACCGCGCAGTCAATCAGACCGGAGCCGCAGCCGCCACCCCTAGCGGTTGGGCGCGGGATGGCAGGGCGGGGCGGTGAAGAGGAGGCGGGGCTTAGGCGGAGCTACGCAGGCGCAAAGTCTCCCGGGAGGGAGCTCACCCTGGAGTCTCCGCCCACTCCCTTACGTAGAGAGGGAAGGAAGGGGCTCGTACCCGGGTTGAAGGTGTCTGTTTTTGTTAAATGCACAGCAGGGAACAGCAGAGTTTAGGACCCGCGATCGGCGCGGTGCTAAGGCTGCGGCGCTGCTCTCTGCAGCATCTCCCTAAATCTGGAGCTTGAATGGCCCTGGTGGAGCAGCGGGGCGGCTAAGAGCCTCGTGGGGGTCACCGCACCTGCCCAGGCCTGTGGGAAATGGAGCACAAAGAGCCGCGCCCTTCGCGGAGTCGGTGCCCACCGCAGCCAGACAGCACGGCGCTGAAACGCCCGCTCTGGCCGCTCCCTGGGGAGAGCAGGGCCGGTTCTACCCGTCCCGAGAAGAGGCGGGCGGGTTTGAGACTGAGACTTCAAGGTTTAGGGAGGAAAACACCTTTCCCTGGCTTGATGACAGCTGCTTACTTGCAGATTGCTAATTCTGAAGTCAGAGGCAAACATGGAGTAAAACCTTATTTGAGTGGTCTCTAGTGATTTACCTCTCTGTGTGTGCCACGCAGAAGAGAAAATTCCGTGGTCCCTCATCTGCAGACCCTAGATATCTCCAAGGCCTGGGTCAAGTGTCACCTACTCCATGAAGGTTTCCTTTCTTTGTAAGGGGGAAGATCACAGCTTTATCTGAACCTATCTAAGGACACTTAGGCACCCTATCTTAGAAAATAAATCTGCTTAGACGATAAATCTACTCAAGTGTAATCAAATCCAAATCCCCATCTTTATCGTAACCACGGCTGCTGCCAGCTCAGAACCTTGTGTCTCGTAAATATGCTATAAGCGGGTAAGACGGTACTGTCAGTACTCCCTAACTATGGTTCTGAATCTGCAGATGAAATCAGCCTCAGATCCAAAGTACTTGGGGAAAAAATGTGCACCTGCCTGGAGCACATGTCTTTTTTTTCTTGTCATTATTCCCTTAATACATCAGAGTAATAACTATTTCATGCACTTAGACCTCCTAGGTTATTGCAAATAATTGAGGGGTGATCTAAAGTATGTCAGAGAGCCCAATCAGTTGTATTTTCATAAACACTTTAGTTAAAATTGATGTGTCGAAGCTGAGGGGGAAAGACCCTTCCCCAGATTGAGCAGCACCTTCTGCCAAGTGACCAGAGATGAAGACGACTCCGGGAAGTCAGTGTTGCTTGTTTGACTGCCTTTGAATCTTACTGATGAACATGTCCATCTTTGTTACTGATGCTTCTTCAGCCTTCCGATCTGGAATGCAGACCAGAAACCCTCCAGGAATCTCCCAGGTCCTCGGCACCAGGTTTGGACTGCGCTTCATGCACTATATAAGAGTCCCTGCTAGCTCTACAGCCAGCAGAGAAACACACCACCAGAGGCAAGGAGGAAACTGGGTTCAGCATGACTTAGATAGTCTGCAGTCTGACACCAGGCTAGTTTGTTTTAGACATAGTTAAGTAGAGAATAACTCTTGAAGAAAGCTTCCTGGCAACAACTGTCACACTCCCGTGTGCACAATAAAGGGTAAGGTGGTCCTCATCGAATGTCTTCAGTAGTGTGCCATGTGGCCTCTACCATGAAGCTGGGATGTATAGTTTAAGGGCCTAGGATCTGGTCTCGTCTCTGACTGAGAGAGCATAGAGGTCAGCGTGTAAGCATGGGTTCTACTGACTGAGAAACAAAGCTAAAGCTGAAGGTCTGGGGAGGGAGAGTCTGGGACAAACATTCTGGGAGATGTAGGTGAGGTCTGTCGCTTACAGATCGCAAAGGTCACCAGGTCATTAACAACATCCACTGCCGAGCCAGGTGGCGGTGGTGCACGCCCTTAATCCCAGCACTTGGGAGGCAGAGGCAGGGGGATATCGAGGCCAGCCTGGTCTACAAGAGCTAGTTCCAGGACAGGCACCAAAGCTACAGAGAAACCCTATCTCGAAAAACCAAAAAAGAATTCGCTGGGTTCTCAGCCTCTCTAGCATGCAGTTGGTCATTGATGGACTGAACGCACACATACACACACACACACACACACACACACACACACACACACACACACACTACAGGTTCTGTTTCTCTGCAAACCCTGCCTGATACACTAATCAACCATTTTCTAAACATATTAATAGTACATTATTAAGCAGGGAGTGGTGGGGCACACTTGTAATCTCAGCACTTAGAAGGCAGAGGCAGGAGGATCAAGTGGTTCTAGGCAAGCCTTAACTACATAGTAAGTTCGAGTCCAGCCTGAACTACATAAAAGACCTTTTCTTTAAAATTAAAGTAGTATATTGTCAATAGTCATTCCCAACTGTTGCAGGATATTTGAACAAACAGTATGGGTCACTGTTTTACCTTGCCTGCCTAGGGCACCTGATTGGTTTGATAAAGAACTGAATAACCAATAGCTAGGCAAGAGAGGTTAGGTGGGACTTCCAGGGAAAAAGAGGAACTTGGGAAGAATCTAGGCTTACATGGAATATGCCAGCAAGACACAGGAGAGAGTCAGACATACAGAATGGAAGAGAGGTAAAAAGCGTGGCAGAATGTAGTTTAGTAGAAACAGGTTAATTTAAGTTATAGAGCTAGTGGGACAAGCCTAAGCAAAAGGCCAAGCTTTCATAATTAATAATAAGTCTCTGTATCATTACTGGGGAACTGGCAGTCCCTCCAAAAAAGTTCAACTACACTCAACAAATTAAATTTCTGTTGTCCACTGGCTTGGATCGTCTACCTGCTTACTAACTGTGAGCTTATCCTTGTGATTTGCCTTAAGTGATAAAAGAGATGACAAACCTGACCTGATAAGTATTTGTTCATTTAGGGACTTACTGGAATGCCTTTCATGTGTAAAATAGTAGGAAAAATAAAATGGAGACGCAATTATGAGACAGGCTGCACCTAGAAGAAATGCGGAAGTGTTGAACTAGAGGGAAAGAATGATTTGTGTGGGAAGTGTGGGGAAGCAAGTAAACTTTTAGTACTAAGAAGTTCCAGAGATGTGCACCTGCTCTTTCCACGTGGGACAGAAGGGCAGGGGAGTGCTGCAGAGCTCACCTTGTGCGTGCAGGGCCCTGGGCTCAAGCCTAAGCAGTGCAGAGATAAAGACATGCTACCTCTAGATTGATTGATATGTCACCCCTACGCTGAACGCCTACTGGGAACACCCAGTGGAGTCCAATTATGGCCTTATGCAATCTCCGCCTGCTCAGATAAAGGTGATAAATCCCAGAGACACTCGGCCAATAACGACCAGCTGGCTGTGAGCAGACCTGCTTGCCCTTGGCTACTCTATTTCATCCCTGTAATTACACGGCCTGAAGAGAAGACCAGCACAGCACAGGCTCACGGAGCACATGAACACTGCACAGACATTAGTTAGCCCATTGTTCTGGTCAATCGTTGTTCTTTGAGTGAACAAAACTTTAGGATGTCATATGAGGTTTCTGTCCCACCAGGTCCCATGATAATCACACAGAAACTATGTTATTTTCAATATTGTTTGGCCAATAGCTTAAGCATATTTCTGGCTTACTCTTAAATCTCTTAAATTAACCCATTTTCATTATTTTATATTTTACCACGAGGCTCATGGCCTACCGGCAAGGTTCCACTGCTGACTCACATCTTTCCCCTCTGGCGGCTCTATGGCGTCTCTTCATTTTGCCTTCTTTCTCCCAGCATTCAGCTTAGTTTTCCCCGCCTACCTCTGTTCTGCTCTGCACAGGCGCAAGACAGTTTCTCTATTAACCAATGGTATTCACAGCATACAGAGGGGAATCCCATATCATAGCAACTTGGTTTATTTTGCCCATGATTTTGCAGCAGTTCTTTCTTGAAGTCTCTAAACTAGTTGCCATCAGATGTCAACTGCAGTTGCTGTCGTGGGAAGGCTCAAATGGGCCAGACATCCAAAATGGTTCACTCGGGTAGTGGACAGGTGACACTGGCTGTTGGGTATCTCAATATTCAGTCCTTCCAACATGGCAAACTTTTCACCTGTCAGCTGGCTTCCCCCAAGGTGAGAGTCTGAAAGGAACCAGGCACGTGGCCTGTTCTGCCCTGTCCTTGGAAGTCAGGTAGCATCACTCACATTAAATTCTACATTCTACTAGCTGGGAAGCAAGCCACCACAGCCAGCCCAGATTCAAAGAAAAGGTACTCTCCTGGTTCTTTTGTTGCTATGGCAACATGCCCTAAGGAAACAAAGGAGCCACATTTTACTGTGGGCTCACAGTTTCAGAGTGTTCAGTCCATGGTTGCCTGACTTCATGTGCATGGAGAGAACATCACGACAGCAGCAGTAGAGAGCAGAGGCC